TATATAACCTGTTAAGGTTTTATGCACGTTCCTGAGGTTCCGGCAATGTTCGTGGTGGGTGGTATGCGGTCAGTAATGCTCTTATATAATGCTCTGTGGCAGACTTTTTCCGCTGAATGCTCTTTTCACTCCTGATGATGAGCCCAGCTCAACATATTGAATATCTTCCACCACAATCGTTATTTAGTACTACAGCGTCCCATGACTGGCACCTCCTGGTGTATTGAAGATCGTTAGCTAAACATAACGACTTTCAACTTTTGATGCCAAAAGCCAGGAGCTGAAGGTATATTTATATCAAGCTCCTGAGACTCCTTAATTCTTGATAAACTTATCACTGTTAATCTTAGTACAGACAACCGAAAAACTTTGAAAGCTTATGACTTCGTCACATGAAAACCAATGTTTGTTACTTGTCGCTTGTCGTTCCTTAGTGGATAACTTATGGATTGTGAAGAGGCCCTGCATGACACCCGTTGTTTTCACATGTCACGAATCACAGCACCTGCGAGCACAGGGAATGGACCCGGTGCAGCCCATATAGATTCCCTACTGGTGCACTTAAACAAATATTCAGCAACGAGTCGATTACCCCGTGCCCCTTATTCAACTTTGAGCTGGGTAGCTTTAACTCATCCCTTCCCTGAAAGTTTATTTAATTTTCTCTCATAGTTTCCGGTCGGTCGGGTTAACACCCACTCGTCTGTGGGAGATCGATTTAAGTCGCCCCATTTTTTTTCAAAAATAACTTCCGAACGACGTGCCATAGCCGCACAAAACATTGCACAACGGTCGGCAACTAAATTCCCAATCTTGTGCTTTAAAAAGGCAAGCCTTGTAAGAGCGCTAACATATAGCAGGTCGAAGTCAGCCCATGGCCACCAGCGAGTGCAATGCATATATAATCGTTCAATCTGATGGGGCAAGGTATCGTTTGAAGAGGACATGCATCTTTGAGACAGTTTTTGACAACTAGACAATTTTATTTAGGATAACGAGTAAGTCCATTGACCCAAGGTAAGGTATGAGGAATAGAGACTAAAACCAACTTGCATTTTTGCCAGAGGACTTTTGTGGTATAGTTTTTAGCGTTCATTTCCAATTTCTTGATCACAGGGACGTAAAAAGTGCGTTATTTAGACGTCGTAAAGTAAGAGAAGATCACTGATCTATGATTACACCGGTCCACTTTTTGTTTTTGGAAGCATACCTTCAGTGGTTATTGAAATTCAAAAATCAAAGTAGGCTCACAAGTTTTTGGTTACCATAGCCTCCTAAAGATTAAACCAGATCCCTGACCTGAAATATACACGAGCGACCTTTTGTTCAGCAGAGATATCCAGGCCAAAGGTGGCTGCGTAGGGAGGCTGAGGGAATACCGATCCAGACA